ATAGATTGTCACATAAAATAATAATTTCGTGGAGAAGCTTTGACGAAGAAAGTGATTGTTCGCTGGGCTCTTTGTCTATGGGTGTCTTTCTTACCATGATCATGTACTAACGCGTCCATGACCGAGAAAATTAGCGGAAGCTGAACAACATGATATTTGAAGAGAGACACCTTGCAAGAGTAACATAATTAATTTAGTGTTCCATAGCGTCGGTGTATTTTTCCATCTTAGCCTTCCCGCTTATCAATTTCCACTAGTAGCGTAACATGGCACCGGTCGCTTGTGCTGTCATTGTACAAGCTGCTTACACTGAATACATAGTAAGGCATTGCCTCGAGACTTCACGTACACGCGACGTGCAGAGGAAGGTTTCAATACGACAACAGGGTAAAAGTAGAACTGTTTTTAGTATAGTTAAGTCTCCTGTTTGTAATTTGCATTTAGTCTTCTTTTAACTGAATCTAAATACATAGATGTATTGCAACTATCTGCTCACCACTCATTGCGTTCTTTTGTCGTGGCTCAACATAACTTGTTTAACTCATAAATCTGTATCAACCTATTAACAGTACTACTTCTGCGACTCAATATTACTTGTTAAGCTAATATTGTGAGAATGCAATTTTTATCCAAGCATAATATTCATATTTGATAGTTACATTATATAAAGTAACATGTGACAGGGGCACCCAGGTACAATATGCGCTTTTCTATTACCATCTGCAATTGCAGTTGTTCTATTGCGTATTGTAATCCTTCGGAGCTTGTTGATGCGGGCGGTCAGCGTGGGGCGGCGTTCATGATAAGCGTGTACTATAAAATTTCGTTTACGAACTTGGGGCTTGATCATACACTAAATGAAAGGCAGGTGAGCACTTGATGGTAAAATGCAAGTGAATGTATTGACATTCTTGACTCGCAATATCGTTTGCTACTTTATGCCTACTAAATTCTTCTAAAAATATATTTTCAATCCCTATCTCGCGAGATACTTATCGTTTACTTGTACATTTTGGCTGCCACTCTCGGGCCTAGGAGCTTATTCGACTTTAGTAAAGAGTTGCATCTACAATGCATTTATACCAAAGGGGATAGGATATGATATATCGCAACTAGTATGACGTGCACACCCAGCGCACTCCGCATGCATGCAGAAAGACACGTTATAAGAAGGTTGTATAAATTCGCATCCATCTTGCGCACAAACACTAGTAGCTTCCCTCTATGGTCTCCCTATATTGGTTGGCTTTTTATGGTTCGTAATACGTTTACATCCATCCATCCATCCATCCATATACATACATATACATAAATACATATATTTGTATCTGTCCCGTCGATATATATGTACTCCTCGTGGTATTACTTGGTGCACTTTGTGAATTAGCTGATGCGAATATCTTTGATTCCGTACAGTAAATAGTTACTACGGGGGATTGCTTTTTTACCACGCGTTTTACCATTTCTTGTCAAACAATTCCTATTCATCCACTCAATATAAAAGAGCATAATTGAAGTGCGCCATTTCGCTTTTCACGACGCAACACGATGCATCGACTGGTCTATTTTGCACATTTTACGAATTTGCTCTGTAGATGTTAAGAACTTGTACAACTTGTCCATGCTGCGTTATCGTTGTCTCGTTACGTCGCTGATAGTCCTGGTTCTCTGCCACGATGTGTTGGTGATCTCATTCGCACACCCTTGTCGTTTCACACCCGCAAGTGTTTCTCTGATCACACTGTCACCAACCTCGGACCTGGCCTCTGCTTTAACTTATTCGTTAATGGCTGCTAAAGTGGTCCACAAATCGTGTACCCTGCAGAGATTGCTGACGAAATTGGCGATATATATTGTGGGCTACATGCCTTGGTTTTACTGTGACTTTTAATTCACACGTCCACCCTAGAGAAACCGAGGTGAAACATTTGCACGATGTTTCTGGACGTGTACGATGAAGATGCGGCTTACGGATTTAGATGTGCTAGATTGTGTTGAGGCACGTGTGACGTTGGATCGCTTTGCTGAGCTGCCTATGTGCTAGCACCGATATTGACGCAGACAATGCAGGGAGGCTGGCTACTGCCCGCTGTGTTGTCCTGGCGCTAGTCCTTGATGATGGTGAGTTGCTAAGCCAAGTCACGTGCTTACCGTGCCAAGCTCGTTCAGCAGCAGCATCTTAAACACACATTGCATACCCGACAACATGAATAGGTAAATTGGGTACAAAATTTGAGTTTCCGTAAGCTGATGCACCCTGAGATCGTTTGATAAGTCGGGTCTTCGCACCCCGGCAATTCCTTCAGTGGATGACCTCCCAATGTGGAATTCCTTAACAAGAACAAAAGCTGTGGACTTGACGAGGTTGACGGTACATTTGATGCAGTACTGATCGATATTCCACAATAACGGAGAGCGGAACTGAATGGATGTGTGGAAGTGCGTGTACCGCGCCAATCTATATTTTTATGGCAGGCAGAGTGGTCGAAAAGAGTCACAACGCGTACTTTAAAGCAGCGTACTTAGGCTGCTGCAATTTTTGCAATGTCTGGTTTTTGCTGCGTGGCAATATTGAAAGGCATTGTGGTTTCTCATTTTTTTTAATACCGAATGGCAATAATGTCAGATTCTTGCGAACAAACGAAAACTCTAGAAGTTTCTACTATCATTATTTTTTTATAAAAATGTTAAATGCACGCCCGAAAGTTGATAAATGGACGCCTTGTAAACTACCGCCGGCTCGTAATTTTTTTTACAGCTATGGACGCCTCGCTCAATAATCGTCTAGTTCAAGCTAACATGACCGACCGCTGGTTCAATGGTACTGCCAGGAAGGGCATATTCGAATGGGTTGCACAGCAGTTACGAAGTTTTTCGTAATTTTACAGCATTATAATAGAAATCTTATACAGGCTGAGCGCGCGATAGAAAGTAACGAGACAATTGTGCTTTCGACTTTTACGTTCATGCACTTCGCTTCATCTCGGGTCTACTTTTAAAGTGCTGCAGTTGCCCAACGAGCGTGTAGATGTGTACCACAGGAACACCGCGCACTGGCGCAAGCGAGTCCTGCAACTCATTATCGCTACGTTGCATCTAGAACTTGACGTCAACGCCTGCGAAGTCACTCTTTGCTGGATGCTAGTACATATGCAGTTCCTCTTCAGATACACGCCATGTAATAGTCAGGTTCCCGTGAATCAGCTTCGGTTCGGTGGCATTCACAATAACGACAACGACCTGAGCCGAGCCGATTGCATGGAAATCAGTTCGCGCGGACAGGCGCTCGATCTTAGTTGTAGTGATCGTGCTTACTGTATCTCCATAAATTCTGTCGAGTTTTCGAGATTTACAGGACGCCCGTATATGTCCAAGGCACTTCCACTGAATCACGTGTCTTGAAAGGCATCAAAAGATGACAGCTCACGTTGGCGTGTAGAAGCTAATCAACGCTTCATCACATACGAGAGTCAGTAATAACGCGATCGTAGCGCACAACATGTTGAGCAACGTCGATTTGCTGACATTCGGACGACCGATGATCTCCAGTCGGATCATTAGTGGCTTAACACGAGCACAAAACCAAAACACCCCATTGGCAAGTTGTCAGCAGCCCCACACTCATCTTACCCGCTCCTGCGACTTACATCGTCCTGTGTGATATAACGGCAATTACATCGCCTAAAACACAAGCGTCGACAAGCTATACCGTTTTTTACAAAAGCGCGTGCATTTTACAGCAATAAATAAAAGTCTACAAAGATGTCCATTTAGTAATTTTGTGCGCGTGCATGTAACAATTCCCGTATTTGATTTTGCATAAAGCTCTTTTTTATAAATCAGGGCAAGCTTCGGATGGTGGCCAGCAACACTCAGGAGAAGGCCAGTCAGCGCGCTTAGGCAGCTTAAGCAGTTGCTGAGCACTTTGCAAGACCATTTATAACATTGAAAATCTATTGAAATGAGAGTCAAGGTCAGCAGCCCATGATATTGGTGCCATGTTTTGACACTGACGACATTCCTTTAATATCAGAACTGCCGTGCTGTGTGTCACCTCGTTGTTCCCTCATGTGCGAGGGATAAATTCGAACTTGTGCTTCGTCGAGAAGGAAAGATACGAGATAAAGTTAAAGTGATTGGTGCTGTAAGTATAGCCAATGACGTGCCCATGTTAGCATAATCGTAGACATCATTGCAACATTCGCTTAACTACTGATAATCAACTTTCTCCTCAGGGTTACGATGTTATCGACGTCACTGCACTACCACCTGGACTAAAACCCTGATAAGACGAATAACGCACTGTCTGCAAAATAACAGACCGTCCTGTCACTGAGAGCGTTGATTAAGTACATAGAAAGAACCGCTTCGTACGACTGCGTGCGTCACTCATGCGCATCCACCAGTGAACCGTTTCCAAATCCTTGTGGGAAATTAAGGGCAAATGATTATGCTTTGTCGGCGCTAGATGCATCGGTTGCGCAACCGGACTAGTATGTCGACAGACACATTGTCTTCTGTGTTCGTACGTTGACACTCTGAAATTGTCAAGCAGCGAGTCTCTCTGGCGAAGACAGGTGTGCGTAGGGGTTCGATCGTCCTTCTGACTGTTGAACGGCATTGCACGACTACAGCCTACGGTAGTTGTTGCACGCTCTTTGCATTTGCCACGGACTTTGCCACGGTCGTTACAGACCAAGTGAAGTGATAGCAGTTGGAGGTACCACTTGTCACGAGTTCAATGCACTAAGAGCATCGCTTGGATGAACTTGCTATGAATGATTAGAAGTGAGTTGCATTTGCACTCGACGAGTATTTGCACTGTTTTATAGCTAGTGCTCTTTGGCACGGTTCGTTATACGGCGTCACAACGGGGCAAAAGCACCATATTCTGCTTGACATAGTCTAGCTTTTACTTCTGTGCGTGAACTTACCACCTAGCAAGCATGTGCGCTGGTAGCTCACGAGAACGGGGGAGAGAGTTCTTACATTTATTTACACTAGTGGCTAAGTGAGGATGACGAATCGGATAATATCGATTCCGAGTAAGTGGAAGCGCTATCGTACGAGTCATGGTAGTACACGGCTTGTTCCTGCGCAGCTTCCCGAGTGCCGCAATTTATAGCTTTGCTCATGCACTGCGAGCAAAAAGAGATTTTGCGCTCCACAAGCTCGCTGTCTTGCCCAATGAACTTCATCTGCACCCGCACCTTGCATGACGAACAGACGTAGCCGTGGCACAGCTTGCACGTACTCCGATTGAGACCAGGAATGCTTTTGTTTTTCCCACACATGACGCACTTTTTCTTCTGATAGCTCTCGTCGCGATGTTTCCTATCCACGTGTCGACGTTGCAGCATCCACGCGAGCTTCTTCATTTGTCCACAGTGCACGTAACTTGTGGCACAAAGCATGCCAGTCGCTGCAAACGGAATAAACTGCAATCGCTTTATTACCATGCCAGGGTCGACCACACAGGACGCAAAACTGTCAATAATGGTGCTGTGGACATGTCGAAACAAGCTGACGGACGACATGTTGCCCCGAACCGTGTTTGGCAGGGGTCTGGTCTGTGGGAAGTCAACGGAGTGGAACACGTGGTAGCCAATGCGCTCACCGTTGTGAAGCTCGACGACGTCCGTGGCTTCGATGACCACGAAATCTCGACTTTGTCCGGCTTTTGTGACGCCATTGGACGCCATCCACCGAACTATCACCGATCGAAATGGCTCTTTCACACTTGGTTCCACTACGTTGCATAAAATGGCCCCCGACACGACACTGCCGATATAGGCGGCTTTAATGCGCAGCGCGTCCCACGTTGTGCTAAGGATGCCAAACATGAGATCTTCCAGGTCGCCTACAAGCGTTCCCACACACATCATCGCCACGAGTTCTTTCTCCGCCTCGCCTTCTGGAACGGCCGCTTTGGGCTGAAGACCCTTGCGTGCCTGATCGTGAACCGATCGCTCTGCGTAGACGTTGAGACCGTCTTTGAACTTGACGCGCTCCCATCGACGCTCGTCCATTTGGTGCTTGTCCGCCATGACGAAATGTTCGTACTTCTCGAAATGGCTCTGCACACACCCGTTGACAACGTCAATGAGCTGATGACGCTGCAGGTCGGACAAGTGCACGTCAGCATAGGGATTCGCACGATACGTGTCTTTCGGCATTCTTGCCGAAGACCAAATGCTCGCTCGGCTCAAGAGTTGAGCGAATTCACGAATGAGCTACTCTTTTTCATCCTGCTGTCGGCACGCAGCCGTTGATCCTTTGATTTGAACGAAGAGACAACGCCTCAAAACCGGTCAGCTACTCAGTGGGCGTTAACGGCAAGCGCACAGAGAGAAAAGGATAGTCTCGCATGTGTCGACAGTGAGCGTCATGACCAGAGTAGTGGCGAGCGAGGATACTAAATGCTACAATCGACACAGAATTCGATTGCACGAGCTGCCGGATCCGTCACTCGTTCCAGGCGATCCGTCACCTATGCAACCGACTTTTATGTGATCACACGCCGCATATAAATACAACGACACACACGCGCAAAGTACGGCGCATATGCAACGGCTCCACGAACACAGTCGTGCATGTTTGTTAAGATGCATTATTGTCGTTGTCTACCTACGCATCCTAGTGCCTCGCATATTTCTTCTGCCAGAGTGGGAGTGTGTCAAAAAGCTACACGTCGTTCGAAACGAAGGCTTCGTTGGAATCCAACTGCACGAGCTATGTCAGACGCGCACGTTCGCTCGACTTGCGTTTGACCATCAGAGCTCGTGTTGTCTCCGGAGCTTCTCGCACGTAACGACACACGTGTCGGTAACTCAAAAGCACTACCTTTGGTGAGAAACTCCGTGAGTCAGGCGCTTTGTTTGATGTTTCAAGCGGAACGATGCAACCAAATGTGGCACACCATCCAACTCGTCTCATCTAAGTTCCCATTCGAGGGCGCATGGTGAATCCAATCCATTGGACATTATGTGTTTGGCGTCGAGTGCACAGGCAAGCGTACGACTACAGACGAAGTGTCAAATGATGAGGCCCCTTTGTTGCCGCTGCTCATTTCATCTCCATTTCAAGCGCCATAAAAGCGACGGTAAGGAAAACCAATCAGAGTGTAGTAATGGGAAGGCTGGGAAGATGGGGGACGCAGCTATCGAGTGAACGCATCCCATCTCGGACGCAACCAGGCTTGGCACTGTAAATTGTACTTGTGATCGAGCGAGCAATCATCGAGCGCACTAACATCGATATATGCACTACAAACCTCCGGAAAGGCACACAACAGATATTCGCAGCTACCAACCATCATGTCATCACTCCTCACTTTAACAAGTCCAGACCTGCCACTCGCGAGACAGCCGACAGATTTCTCTTAAAATGCTCAAATGAATGACGCCGTCGATATGCACCCTTCCACACCACGGACGACGACCGTACGCTAGCACTGGTCGGTCATAGAAGTGAGGCATCGGAGCCAATCACAGAGATGAAACCCCGCACAACATGGTATATCGGCTGTTGTGTAGCTTCTAGAGGTGATTGTTTCTTGTCTTTACTTTCGGCACCTGCCTGCCATCCTCAGGACATCTGGCGCGTGCGGTATAGATTCGTTCATACTTCAAGTCTGCGGGTAAGAAAAAGGTCGGTTTCGGTGCAAAAAATCTTATACTTTATAGAATATATTTTTATGCGTACTTAACAGCTGCACGGTATATTACGCCGACCCCTTTTACCCTTTCAAACCCTATAGAGAGTCTGACCTTGTCACACGTCGCTCGCTCCATCTGCCCGACAGCTGAGATGATAGAGCACCACACGTGCCATCTCAAACGTGCGATTATTGAACACAGATATGGGGCTCTCGCAACACGCACAATCACATGAACGTCTGTTGGACATTTACATTGCCGCAATGAATCATTAAATCTCGAAACATAACCCCCACATTGTACTGAGCTACCGATTGCGCACACGTAAGGAGACACTCTTCGTGACAATTTGACCGCTTGCTGTGGGTGTACTCATAAGACAGAGGAGCAAGTTCTAGAGCTTGCTGTTTACTACAAGCAATGCTGTCCGGGAACTGATTTAAAATCTATATGCTCACGTACTCATTCGGGTGGTCGTCAGCGAGAAATGGGCTGTAGTATGGATTTACCATAAAAAGTTCGCATGAGTTGTTGAGTGCCCGAAGGATATGCTATTGTTGACTGTGCGTAAGCAAGTCTCGAAATTCATAGATCGTCCTTATCGGTCCGAGTGTCCAAAAATATCCCTATGCACCAAACGCGTCGTACTAAGTGCGATTTATTCTGTCACCTCCTGTGTAGCAGAGCTACTTAGCGCTGCTTCACAGAGGAAGTTTTAAAAGAAGTCTTTTAGTTATAAAAAGTAGTAATGACGTACAGTCGTCCAAGCTTCCAAGCTTAACAATCCCGGTTCTAAAGGGATTACGATTCACAGAATTACACACTAACATGTCACTACTAGTTAGACAAGAGTAAACGCCTTCACAAGGCTAACACTCTTACAACACACTTATGCCTCGACTTGGCACTAGCGCCCAACGATTTAAAAGGGAAACTGAACTTTATTTATTCTTTCAGCTACGGTAATAAAACCCTAAAGCCCTGCCTGACTGACTTCTACATTGCGATCCTATGACGGAAGTCTGATTTCTCATCCTTGCCCGGTAAGGTGCGGTATTACCGTAAGTATGTGGTACCAAGACTGTACCGCTCAGATCCGCCGATCTTTACTTGGTATGGACACAATACATAACCGGTTCAAATAACCACGTATAAACCCGTTACCCCCCCCCACCAAACTGTCGACACCTTTGTGTTGACAAATCTCTAACTTTGCTTTGAGGTCTGTCAAAGCTCTGGTCCTTGACCATCGTGTTCAGAACACATCCCAAAATGACTGAGTCAAAGCCTACGTCCAACACCCTGGAAGAATGCACCGAAGAGGGCATGGTGGACTACGAGAGTTACATCGCTGCCTCGAGCATCTTCGACCATCCTCCACCCACGCCAGGGGCGCGTGACAACACGCGCATCGCATCTAATCCATTCGTGGAACGCGATGAGGTACATTCACCTATCGTACAGCGTACAGTCTTCGACCCCGCGTCGGGTATGCTGCACAACACTTTCGATGAAGGCCAAGCACAACGTCTTTAGTCGGTCGATGACCGTAGGCGCCAAGCAAAAAAATGTGGCCAATGCCAGTGCTCATAGTGGCTACCGCTTCAATCCACCGATTTTAGATGAGCGTACTCGTCAGACTACCGGGCAGTCACTCTCAACATGGGTAAGGAGACCTAAGGCTGCCGTAGCCACAGCACTAGCGAAGATAGAGGATCCTGGAGCGATATACCTGGGGTCGAGCATACGACCGCTCAAGAGTACGTCGACAGGATTAATTTGCAAGCACAAGGTGCATCAGTGTCCACCATGCGGACAGTACCCGTCGTTCTCTTCCCTGGAGACAAAGGCGGATATGTAGCCATCTTCACGCGTTAGGATCACCGAGCTCGCCGTCTGCCAATCCTGCCGAATGTTCAAAAGAGCGCTTCACTTGCTGACGTTCGGCTCGGACGAAAGATGCGCTTTGATACCGGATAACAAAGGCCAAAAGCCAACGGCTATCGTTATATCGCACCCGCTATTCTGCAGCAGCTACGGACCCGCGCATCAGCGCACCTGCTGCAGCTGCCACCATCTCCGCTCCACACCGACTAGTGGGAAGCGGTATGGGTCGACTGACCCCGGAAACGAAGTTTAAAACCTCAACGACGTACAGGAAATCCTGCCGCAGTGGCACTTCGTATTCCCGTAAGTTCTCCGACTCTAGGTACTCCCTCCACTGTACCAAGTAATGGTACTGACCGCCGCGACGACGTCGTTAAAGGATTCTCCAAATGGTAATGTTGATTCCCTTGCTCGTCAACGAGAGAATGCTGCAAGACGGAGTGGCGCGTCTTTGAAGGACAACTGGATCTTCTCTTAAGGGTTCTTCGACTTGTGGTATCGCTAACTCTTTCAGCGCAAGCGCCTCGTGATCTACCGGCGACGGATCAAGATAAGGCTCAAGTAAGTTGACGTAAAACATTTGTTGTGTTCTTACCTTGCGTGGAAGGTTGAGCGTGTACGCTAGGCCGTTCTTGGCCTCAACCTTTTAGGGCCCAATGAAGCGAGGACGCAATTTGGTCTCGCAGACCACTGACATCACCTTGGAAGTTGTTTTTTTTGCGATAAGTAAGACTAGGTCTTATAACCCATAACTCTCAATACACTTACTTCCTTTGGCATCAGCTTGTTCCTTATATTTATCCTGGATATAAGGTACTGTGTCAAGCACCTGTCGTAAGAAATTTAACTGCGTAGCGACAAACTCGCTCACCTGTTTTTAAACAGCATTAGTGCTGACAACAGCAAGTCGATCGGCTACTCCTCCACATTAAGCCCAAAACGTCGTAGTGGAAGCGTTGATGAAACGCGTAAATGAGTGAGACCATTCGCGCAGAATGGAGTAACGCCAGTAGAGGCATGAACTGCGTTATTCAACGCAAATAAGACCATAGGGAGCATAGAGGTCCAACGACTAGGCGTGTCAGCACAATAACTGCAAATTATTTTACCAATGACACGGTTGACACGCTCAGTGTTATCATCATTCTGCGTATGATCCTCTGTGGACATGTCCAACCTGGTTCTAGCACCTTGTAGATGGAAGTCCAGAACTTGCCAGTGAAAAGTCGATCACTATCAGAGAAAAATGCCAAAGGCAAACCGTGTTGACAAAACACACGATCGACAATCAACTTTGCTGTACCTTCTCCACCGATTTAATCAGGCACAGCCGCTAAATGAGGCATCTTGCTCAAATGGTCAACAAAGACCACAGAACCAGTGTTGCTGTCCAAGTCTTTCGGTGGGCCGAACGCAAAGTACATACTGATGGACTCCCAACTCTAAGTGGATAATGGCAAATCTAGAGAGCGGTGAAACCGCCTTTGCTGAGGGTTTGACTCGTTGACACGTTTCAAATGTACGTACACATGTGCTCACCCATTTGTACAACTTGGGCCACCAATAAGTCTGGCTAATTAAGCTACATGTCTTTTCACGACCGAGATGACCGCTCAAAGCAGTGTCACGTGCCTCGTAGAGAAGATGATACTTCAGCTACTAATCATGAGGAACAACGATGTATGGCACATCCTCAACGCCCGTTCAAAAGCACAACAACCCACCACCGATGAAATGTCGATGTAGGCTCGCATGTAAAAGTGCCGACAATTTGATGCCCGATTCTTGAAATCCCTCACTTCCAACAGCATGTGGCAGTGCTACATATTGTCATCACGCGTATCTACCGCACGAATTTAATCCACAATTGATGACGACAGAGTCGTAACATGAGCAAAATCCTTATCAGGTCTGCTTGACAACGCACCAGCCAAAGTGTTTTGCTTGCACGGCCTATGCTTCACCTCGAAGTTGCATTAAGCAAAATGGAAGCCAACAATCCTTACTTTGTGAGAGGTGAGGCGACTGATTCGCAGTCCGTAACGACGCATGATTGATTAAGACCACAAAGGGCTTCGATCCAAGTAGTTGGAATCTGAAGTTGATTAGAGCATATTTCACTGCAAGTAGCTCGTGAATTGGATAGTTCTTCTCTGCAGACATTAGCTGTTGAGATTTATACGCGATGACGCACTCATGTCCATCGAATTCTGTCCGCAATGAGGCTTAACCAATAGCAAAAAATCAGACGCGTCACAGACGACACTGAGAGGCCACTCAGGGTCAGGCAAAGCCAAAATTGGAGCATGAAGGAGACTGTCCTTTAGATCTTCAAAATATTGAGCATGGACTGCGTCCCAACACCAAACTGCATCCTTCTTGAGGAGGTTTGTTAATGGCCGTGCCGTATTAGTTAGCTTGCACTGTATTTGTGCTAGTAATTAGCAAGGCCGAGCCATTTACGCAAGTTCTTTTGGTCCAGAGGAACCGGCCAGTCAATGAATAACTTTACCTTAGCGTAACCGCTGGAAGGCCATGCTTCTTAAATGAAGCACCCGTGAAAGGTTTTGTCTTAAGCACCAAAAATGCAAGTCGATGCATTTACATACAGATTGTTCGTGTGCATGCACTCGAGCACTGCTCGCAAATGATTAATGTGATTTATCACATCAGATCTGCCATGTTATGCACGGCTACGAAAAAAGATATTTTCGAATAGCTTTGTGCACGTCCTCGGTGATGTCGGAAAAATCGAGTCACAAGACGATGAAATGTAGTCGGGGCATTAAACAGTCCTGAAGACATAACAAGCCACTTCCAAAGCACATCGCTTGGAGTGCTAACCGCCGTGAGCGAATTGTCGCTCGCTCGCATACGCATTATTTATACCCATCGTTAAATCGAGTGCACTGAACGTGGCATAACCTACCATTTCGTTTTGAAAAGCATCCTTTTAAAAAATGGCGTCTGTGTGGTATAGTGGCCGCGTTGGGCTTTTCGCAGGCATGCACAATGCGTCACTTGCCATTTTGATTTTCTGACACAAAAATTAGGTGCTGGGTGCAGAGACATGCTCTCACGCACAATGCCAGCCACGTGTGTTGAATGGAAGAACTCGTCAATGACGTCACACTGCTCTTTTATTAGGAACTGTTGGCCTGTCACACAATATTTGGTTCCAGAAATCAGGTTGCTGAATGAAGTAAGACTCGATCAGGAGACATAGTGGAAGCTGCGTCGAGACATACCACATTTGAAACTCCTTAACCAAAGAATAAACCTGATCTCCTAATTCTTATAAGATCGACGTCGCACTTCGAGCACTCAGTGCCGCCTTTCTGTCTCCTGAGACAGCCTTGTCAAGAAGTGACGACGCGTTCAACTCACTATCGGATCTGATGACCACCACTTTAGATAAGTCTCGCGACCTTAAGGTCAGGCCAAACTCATCGACAGACATTTCGTCTAGCTCTAGCACAATATTCAGTGAGGGTAGAGTCTCAAGACTCACTGATCCATCTACGTCACCAGTCACTCCATTTGCTTGTGTAAATAGCTGCTCGCTAGTATCACTCAGTGACGTAACAAACGCTTTGCGTTGCACAACATCACTCCGGAGTCGGTGTCGTCTCTGTGACGAGACAGAACGTCTCAAAGATACTGGAATTTTCTCGTCCCCAAAAAAATATTTTTTACTATCTTCCTATACTTGCTCTGTACAAGGGCTGATGTCATCACCGACACCTGGGACATCAATGTCCCTAAGATTGACATGATCGTCAACTTTAAGTTGCTCATTACCAGAGTCGATGGCACTACCGACCTCTGGGACGACACTGTCCTCAAGGTGACGAACAGCGTCAAAATTAATTTGGCCAATAGCAGGACCGATTTTATTGCCGACATCTAAGACTACACTGTCCCCAAGGTGACGAACCGTGTCAACCTTACCTTTACGATCCGATGTCATTACCGAAATCCGGTGATGAGTCACTTCCACTGAGATCATCACCCAATGGGTACTAACGTGCCACTCCACGCTCATCAGATAGGGGTTGCCCTAGATGAATAGACATATCACCAACATTGTCTTGACTGCATTCAGTTGGTCGCAAACATTGCTAACATCACTTAGTGGGTGCTTACGTGCCACTCCACGCCCACCAGATAAGTTCAATTCATGATGACTCGGCTCTAGGCCAACAATGCACATTGCATTCAGTAATTAATTATCACAGCGACTATTAATTGATTGAGTGCTTGCCGTATCACTAGCAGACAACAAGCTCGGCTCGTTATCAACGTGTATGACATCGTCGAACTCAATGAGTTCAGGCATACCGATGCCAGCACACTTAATATCTCAGTCCGAGGCTCGCACCAATCGCACTTCTGTTTCGTAGCAGAGGTGGGCTCATGACTCCTTAAATCTTCACTAGAAACAGTGCGCATTGAGCCTAAGGTCTTTGACCTCCAATTAATCCATGGCTCATGGCGTTCTAGCCAATCCATATCAAAGACAAGATATGTCTCTCATCCAAGTCAATGACTAGACAGCGATCGATTTTGTCAAAGCCCGAAATATGGGCGCTTAAGTTCACAGGAACTTTAGGCACAGTGACTAATGCATCTGGCGCCAAGCTAACAGTGCTAGTCTTACTCTTTCGCGCTTTTTCCCGACACCCCGGAGTCGATCAATATATACCATAGCTTATTAAGGCCCTTTACTGTTGCCTTTAAAATAGCAAGCCTGGCTTGTACGCTTGCTTCGTGAAATTGTGCACGAAGTCACTTGGGGCTAGGCTATGTTCTCCATCACCTCCCCTGAGATACAACAGATCCTGAATTCTTCCCAGTAGAGCGCCCCGCGCCTACTGGGACTCAACTTTTTCTTGTTCTTTACCGAATCGTTAACTTGCAACGGGTGGTCGGCTAGAATAGGACCGCCTAGTCCTTCTCAAAGGACAATTAGAACGAAGGTTTTTGATGCTTCTGCACATAAAACAGTTACGGTTGCTCAGCTTCTTCGTCTCTCTTACCGAGACTAAGATCCATGGGTTCTGCCCTATCCATGAGATAAGTGATACTCTTTAAGTTTGATTGTAACCTATGAGTTACGTAGCGGGCGGCTTTTAAGTTGAACTCTGCGTTTAACGCTATGTCCACTGAACCCTTGATTTTCAAGGGTTGTGTACGAAACACTTCTGTCTTGGCAACGCCAGTGCGAAGACCCTCCATGAGAATAATTACCAGAACCGTCTCAAATAAAGGGTCAAGTTGCATAGCAGCAATTAGAGTTTGCAGCTCTTGGACAGAATCGACTAAGTCTTTTTTACCCTGGCGGGTCGATAGAAAGCGTGATCGCACGCGATGTGCCTAATTAGGCGGAGCAAACACCCGAGATAGCTGCTGTTTTAGCATGTCTCAGGTGGGAAAGCCTCGTCTACTGAGGTGCCGGAAGTGCACGACCAATACCTGGATTGGCCATTTAAATTGATAGGGCCAAGCCCACCTTCTGCTACTCTATCCGCAGCAAGGCCGAACGGATTGCAATCTCCATCTCGTGAACCCACTAGAAGATTTGATTTCTCTTTTCCCTCATTTGTTTTGACACCTAAAACCAGAGGACGAGTCCTTGAATTAGTGTCCGATATTAGAACATAACCAGTGGACATGGTAAATGCCATAATAGTCATGGAATTACACGATTAACGAGTACTCAAAGTTCGAGAAGGCTTCGAGACGAGCACAAAGTGCGTCCGGGCCTTGCGTCACTATAAGGGCCGCTTGCTCGTGCCCGATCAAAGCTGTGATCTTCTCAAGCGTGACCTGCTGGCCCTCCGAGAGGTTCATGAACGTCTTCATCCTCGCAGAGGATTCAGTCTGTAAAGACTCAGGCGTAGATTGACTACTTATGCTTCCAATTTTAACGGAGATACTTAGCGCTGCTTCACAGAGGAAGTTTTAAAAGAAGTCTTTTAGTTATAAAAAGTAGTAATGACGTGCAGTCGTCCAAGCGTCCAAGCTTAACAATCCCGGTTCTAAAGGGATTACGATTCACAGAATTACACACTAACATGTCACTACTAGTTAGACAAGAGTAAACGCCTTCACAAGGCTAACACTCTTACAACACACTATGCCTCGACTTGGCACTAGCGCCCAACGATTTAAAAGGGGAACTGAACTTTATTTATTCTTTCAGCTACGGTAATAAAACCCTAAAGCCCTGCCTGACTGACTTCTACATTGCGATCCTATGACGGAAGTCTGATTTCTCATCCTTGCCCGGTAAGGTGCGGTATTACCGTAAGTATGTGGTACCAAGACTGTACCGCTCAGATCCGCCGATCTTTACTTGGTGGTAACACAACACATAACCAGTTCAAATAACCACGTGTAACCACGTTACATCCTACGTAAAGGATGAACACCATTTTTGCCTTACATGGCGTGCGAAGTGCGATGTATTCTGAAACCTCTATATAAGTATAAAGTCATATTCAACCTCACTTTTTTTTTGTTTATGTCCCAATTGTGACACATGCATGTAATTGGTTTCATATCGATCGAAGGTGAAAATGATTATATAAGAAAATGCTAAACTCTTATAAGCAAAGGCTGGATGCTTTGCCTGAGCATTCTGTATAGAGCGATTGCAAACATAAGATCATCATATTTGTTTGACGTTGTTTGCTGTTTTATAGTGTCAAGCATCTCGATTCAGTTTTCCGAGCTGGTTATTAAATAATAATGGGCGAGCTATAGAAATTGAACCTCGATCTTATTCTGGCAGAGGTGCAGGAAATGTAAATCTAAAACAGCAATATAGGCATATGTAGATACTAAATGCATAAAATGTACTACATCGAGCAAAACAATAATGAAGTGAACCTTTAGAAATTCACCTCTTAGCATGGTAGGGCATAGGCGCTCCTCGTCCCCACATCCCGGTTCATTTCATCACTTTTTGCTCATAAAGTTACACAAATCGCTCGTCTTTCGTGCCTAGATATTAAGGCAAAAGAGTTCTGTGGAAAAATTACATATTTAATATAACGAAGCTTTCAGTGTGTGAACAATATACGTAATTGAAATCACCCACGTATCGTCAAAAGCTCTCTTAAATTTTATACATGTTATTATTTTGCTAATCAAGGGATATCGTAAACAAAAGCTTGTTATTAACTCAAATTGGGATACTCGACGGTTGGATAAAAGCTAAGAATATATAGCCTGCAAACTGGTAGGCTTCAGTCGGTTAAGTATGCAGACATCACCAGAATAAAGCTAAAACCCCTCTCTCATTCCGATGAGGAACTGCAATTTCATAGAATGATGTATGTGTGGACTATTAAAGTTTTTATACATGGTGTCAGTCTTCTTTCCTGCCATGATGGTAACCAGAATCATAGAATCGAACTGGTAAAAGCGGAAACGCTTGCCTATCGATTGGTAGGAGTTGCGAATAGAATTAAGAACGTGTGATTCGACAAGACTTACATCGGTCTAAAAACGTTTGTATTTTGGTAGTAATAATACGCATCAAGTTAAATTTTTAAATCGATACTATGAGAGCATGACCTATGGGACGGGGTTATTTACAGATGCAATGTGATACAGACTAGTGAAATCGACGATCCTATCCGTCCCAAACTGAAGTAGCACTATACTAAATTTGTTTGCGACGTTACATCAGAGCAAAAAAAGTCATCAAAAAAACGCGTGAGACAAGTTTTTGTCGGAGTTACACAAATGGATACGATAAATAGCTACGCAAGTGTGATGTTTACATAAAGAGACCAGTAAAAGTGATGGGTATAATATTTGTATTACATACGATAGCAATTAAACGAAACGTAACATTTACGAATCAACGGCTTTAGTAGTATTTAGGTCTCTAAGTTTAGCGTAGTTTTGGTTTGGTAACTCCAGAAAAATCTGCGTGAGAACTATTCGATCAGGTAGCATGATTTTAATACAAAATACTTAATTGGCATTTAATATTGCTATTAATTAGTAACTACATTCAGTTCCTCTTTGGTCAGTTTCAGACTCAGGTCTTTGTAATACTTATTTGATCGTAGGTATTGTGTGTCTGCAATAAAGCTTTTACTCTTAGAATGAGTGAAACGTGATTTCTCATGTCGTAGTCTCCTAAATCAGGACTTAAACCTTGCGAACTTGTTAATATATTGATTGATTTATTGTCCGGTACTTCGCAACTAGATTTAAGTCCCACCAAGTCTGTAAAGACTGAATACCCTTTAAGTTAATACCCGCTTGATTTGATATACAAAGAGTCTCTACGAGTATATATGTCTACAAATGACGAAGGAATAAGGGGGCTCTACTACACTTAAAAGCAGCTGTAGTCAATCTACACCAAGGCTAGCTAAAGACTATTCCTCTGTAAGGGTGAAACCAAAGATAAATATCTCTGAGGCCCAAGGTTATCCCTGGAGATAATCACAGCGCATGTCTAAAACAAACATGCGGGTTGAATCCTTGCTCAAGCCCTGACATGATTATTGCAGATCTTGATGCTTTCGTGCAGTTTACATTCGCTATCATCAGGCAAATACGCGACCATTTGTCATAGGCTATGCATACTCTGTACATTATTATACCAGATGTAGAGTTAAGGGCTTGCCTCTTGTCTTAAATGTAAAGAAAATTGAGGTTAAATAGAGGATGATCTCCTCGTGTGGGTCAGAGAGGTGGAATTGGCCATGAACATAGTGCACTACATCAATCGCAGCAACAGCGAGCTGGGCTGATCATCTCGAAAACAGGTAGTCGAGTTATATAGCGGGCATTTTACATACAGCAATTCTGTAGATGAAGCATTTCACACATGGAATTGGCTGATACAGCAAATATCCCGGGTGTTTAATTCCTCTAATCAGGCATGTCAATTGAGTCATTTTTTCCAATCTGCCCGTCAGGGAAATAAAGTAATGTTGGACTCTGTTTAAGCGATGATAACTTTAATCGCTGCCTTGCATCTTGATCACTTACCTCGGAGGGTTCTAGATACCGTCTTAAGGAGGATATTCGTACTGGCGCGGATTGAACGAACGTATTCTAAGTTACTACGCTTCCTTTAAGACGGCTACGGATATTGCGTTGAACACCAAGATTGACATATAGGCAGCCCGTTCAGCACCCACGGGTACAACTCAAACTTGGCGAGCTCAGCTAGTTTGTTTAATGTAGACCCTTTTTTCACATATAAAGCGAGATGAAGCTGAAGTGTGGTTCACGGACGCTCTAAATGAGGTGATCTAGCCGGCATTCACGTAGTTAGGCTTCGCGGAATGTTTGGAGAAAGCAGTACAACTGACACGATATTCAGAATCACGTCTTTAAAATTTTGCGCCTATACATCTTCGCGGAGAAAGACTATTCGGCGATTTTAGGCGCCCATGTCGTTGTTAATAACATTTAACTACTCTTAGAAAGGAAACCTATCATTAACGCCTTGAGGTAGCTGTAATGATATGATTCAAGCTAGCTCGCTGAATTTTGCTAAATTAAAAGCGCGTAATCGTCTCATTACAAATGATAAACGGCTCGCTATCGTCCGAGCCGTCAGCGGTGCACACCAGAGCAACTTTTACACGAATTTTCTATGCTTCGATCCTTCCAATCATCGCCAGTCAAAATTTTTATCGGAAGCGAGCCCTTATGCGGCCCTGTTTTCCATATTGTAGATGTCAGCACGCAAGACCCCTTTGGGCACTCCCGGGGTGGCGTCGCGCTGCGCGGGTGTTCTATCAAAAATTGAACGGAGATGCTCTGTGACGTAAATTTTAATTTCTTTTAATCGTGATGTTTCTGGAGCGTTTAAATCCATCTGTTTGTAAATTAAGTCAGCTGTACTTCTTGTACGCCGCTCAACAAGACATACAACATTGCTATCACCGTGATCAGATCACCGCATAGCTTCGTGCTCCAAGATTATACATTTAGAACCTCGTCAGCAATTGTTATACGAATTACAAGGAGCGCATTTGATCGGGTCTGTTTGCCTTTGATGTCGAACGCCCTCCACTTTAACGATGTTTAAAGATTGCGTAAACTTCGGATATTCTTCCCTTGACTTACGTCTTAAGACCCAGCTCACTCTTTACTCTGTCTGCCAGCAGCGAATGTTTAAGAGTGTTGTTTTCTTCATCACACCGGCGTATCGTTTATATCTGACTCAACGTCTTTTTGATAACCTGTTCTAGTTGCGACACGACTGTGTAAAGAAGATCGAAGCAATCGAGGAAGATCGTTGGGTGAAGAGATATCGAACCATGACAATCTTCTGAGAAGGATCGATTCACTCTTAATATGACGACTATCGGGCCAGAAGATTGATCGGCAAGGTCAAGTCGGCGTTACTGAGCGATCAGGCGACAGATAAAGAAAAGTGTTTGGTGTTCGGTGATATTTTTACGATACACGTGTATAACTGGACAACTAACTATGCTGATCTACACAGCACAAAATAAATTATTGTTGGATTGTTGTGTGAAGCAGTATGGAGGGTAAGATGTATTAGTGGCCACATTGTGTAACCTTGCATGGAAAAGATCTGATGAAAACCGGCAGGAGATTTTGCATCGTCTTATTGTTGCGGCCAAGCATGCCAAGATCGTGACTAGAGAAGGAAGACTGGCTACATCGGCCATGCGTCGGTAGCATATGGAAAACTGTATTGATCCACAACAAGATCGCGATCTGACTAAATAGCTAACTCCAGTGCGATTTATGGATTTACTTAGATGGAAGAAATTATCCGTGCGTGTCAACGGATGGAAAATCGTTAGGTGAATCCGTCAATAGGATCAATCTAATATCATCAGCGAGCAATCGCACTTTCTAATCCAAAGGCTTCCAAGACACTTTGGGCAATGCGAGCGATCCACGAGAAAGTTAGGACTAGCGGATTAGAATCAGAGTCGATTGAGTCTACGGGAAGAGTGGATCGTCGTCGTGTTTGTGTGAATACTACACCCGACCTAGATTAACTGAGAAAGGATTATCGCGCCTGGCAATCGAACAAACAGGTGAAGAATATGACGCAATCGTAATGGGAGATCGAAGGCGTGCATCTATGTGAATTTACCAGACACGATGATCGAGGGTTCTGAAAAGAGATGTACGCAACCAAAATGAGGTTGTAAACGACACCCCTCTGGCATATGTTCCTTCGTGTGCGCAGCCTGCGGGGATCGACAGTGGCAAGTGTTCCATTTAAAATTATTTTTTTTAGATTTTGCTCGAAAGTTATTACTGGCAACGAAGGGGATTCCGGGAATGTTTCCACCTAAGGCGGAGGAAATGTGAAACTAGAACGCTTGCCAGGTTAGATTCTGGCACGAGCCGAACGTTCTAGGCTTTGCATATACTTTTTTACGGAACAAGGAGATACCGAGGGGCCTTGCGATAGCATTGATCCGATCGCTATTATGCATAAAGATTCAATCTTTTCACATAGTCGATGAGCAAATACAAGTCGCATTTGCTCAGTCTAATCTGGCTGGATGTGCCAAAACCTAGGCAATAGGGCTCAAATTGTATGACCCAGATGTGTTTGGGCCCCTGGAGGTCTTCAAGACTCGGCTCAGATTTACGTTTGAACCTTTTAAGGGCTAAGTTCAGGGCTCAATCAGAGCTCCGAAACAATAAACAGAGTAAGCGTGATAAAACACTTACGGCCAACACTTACGACTCATTGCGGGTTGCATCACGGCCAGTCGGGTTCATGAATACACATTGATCATTTTGTGCATGCATTGTCGTGCAGATGTTCCCGTCAAGACATACCTGTTCCGCTTGGAACTGGATGCGCTTGAAGAAGCGATATCAATTGCGGAACAGAAAGACTTAAGATTGAGACAGGTTGCTAGTTCGGGTAGCTACCGTACCCCAAGTAGTGGGTCCAGAACCTATAAAACTCTGTTATATTGAGAGCGAGAGACCTCGATCTCAGCCAACAAGCGATTGCAGAAGTGCAGTCGAGGTCAGAAGTTGGTACACTATCCTTACGAGTGTAGCGCCCTTCGCCAAGTGTCACAAAAGATGAAATGAACAATTTGACCATTTTCCAAGAAGGTCAACGGACGCGGGTCCAACGATGTTGTGAATCACAACAGCATTGCGGACCGTCAAAACAACGGTCAGGATCAGAAGGGTGGACCTCCATTCTGACCCAGCAACTCTAAGAGCCTTTGCAAATCTCTTAAACAGTTGATCCAGACTCACAATTACTGTGTATATCTGCACTTAGTGACGAGGCACCCCTCATTATCTTAAAATTAAAAGTGACGGGGAATATGTCACGTCGTGCCCTAGTAGACAGTCCAGCATCGGCCAATTTTTTTCGTTGCCGGTCGCTAGAAGTTCGTACGCTCAAATCGTTAAGCGCGATTTTGTCTGCGACAAGAAGAACGGTGTGCACAGCAACAGGCACATCTATGACATTGATGAATTCGCAGTGCGACCTCACCCAGTGATAGAAATTTTGCGGTACAATGATGATTTTATCGTACCTGACTTGGTTGACAAGGTTTTGATGTCATCCTAGGTACGCCCTTAATTTAAAAAGCTTGATCCAAGCTTAAGCTGGCAGCATTGAACCGTGAAGATGCCTGTCACTTGTTCATCAGATGGCCATCTGATGAACGTCTTAAAGCCTTCTCAAGCGTGTGATGGTACTGTTAGTGAGTGCGATGACCTCACTTGCGGTAGCAAAGGGTAAAAAGAGAACTGTATTTAATACAGTTAAGCTATCAACACAACTTCAATTTTTATCTAATTTATTTAAACAACGCCGTCGTGTGACTACAACCTGCTCACTACTCATTGCGCGCGTCAAGCAGCGATTAGTGGTAATCTATGGTCGATATGTCTTTTATCAACCAATGTTTGAGCAGCACGTAAATGTAATCCTGAAAGGGGATAGTAATCCTTCAATTTTATCCATCTCGGTGAACATTGGTTGGATAGTGTCATGCTAGAAAATTTCACAATTGAGACCGTTTGGTGTCAATTTCATAAACGAGCTACCCCGTTACAGTAGGGGTGGTTCCATTGTAGTAACACCTATAGTATATGTTCTGTCGTCGAATCTGCTCGTAGACGTGCGAAAAGCAGGCACAGAAGATGAGATTCTTCTGCGGTTGATTGATTATGTATCCAATCCGTGTAATCAAGCTTTGAAAAGCTTGTAGTCTCAATTCCGCTCTTTAACCGAACGGTATTTGGTTGGTGACGGACTGCTGTATTATACAGCAGTCACCGGCGACACACCTCGTTTCGTCGTTCCGACTTATCATGAATTGGATTGCACATCGTGTTTGAGCGTCACGATGCCCCAACCAGTGGGCATCACGGTAGAGAAAGACTAACCTCATGGTGAGTCGTGACTTCTACTGGCACCGCCAGTATGAGTTCGTGCGGAAATACATTCGCGCTTGCGAAGTTTGTCAACGGGTGAAGCCTAGTCCTTCATCACGCGCACCCTTGCAGCCTCTACCGATTCCAGCAGAGTGCTGGCAGTCCGTATCGAAGGAATTCGTATTTGGGTTTCTTAAAGACGCTCACAAGAATACTGGTATTCTTGTGTTTGTTGATCGGTTCAGCAAGATAGTATATCTTGTTGCAGTACCGGAGTCAATCACAGACCAGGGCTGTGTGCGTGTCTTCATCGATACTATCTTCCGACTTCACGTGTTACCCCGTGAACTCGTGTCCGACAGGGACCCCCGCTTCACAGCGGAGTTCTGGCAATCTGTGTTCCGTGCACTTGGAACACGTTTGAAGATGTCAACTTCTGACCATCCCGAAACAGATGGTCAAACGGAACGCATCAACCGCGTTCTCGAAGAGAAACTTCGAGGGTATGTCCCCCCACTCGCTTACGAGCTGGAGTGAGTTATTGCCGATGGCGGAATTCGCCATCAACAACTTGGTGCACGCGTCTACAACGCATGCACCGTTCTTCGTGACTGGTCTACGCCATCCACGTTTACCCACCTTCTCAGAGTGTGACTCTAGTTTAAGGTGGGGTGGACTCGCTTGAACAAAAACCGAACCGGTTATTGCTCATCGCACGTCGACAATGGTGTCGACGTGATGGATGCCGATGTCGATGGGATCGATATCAATGATGACGATGACGACGATGCTGGCATATTCAGCATCGCCTATGACCGCCAAAGTGAGGACGATGAAACCCTCATTGTGGAAGACAACTTCCTTTCAGCACTGCACACGAAGTGCACTGCTGTCGACAAGGATGAATCAGCAGAGGAATTTCTGCTGACTCTCGAAGCGGTTGTCCGCTTCGTTCAAGGCTCTATTGCAGATGCACTAGACAGACAGAAAATAAACGCAGACAAACGTGGAAAAGCAAATGTTCTTTCATTCAACGAAGAGGACTTAGCTATACTGTCTACAGTAAATCTACCGAAACACGCAGTGACAAACGTGGGCAGCAATAAACTACTTCCCAGGTACATTGGTCCATTTCGTGTGTTGCGCTGTATGGGCAATGCTTACACGATTGATCTGCTCCGTAAGATGCATACGCATCCTACGTTTTACGTTGGACGTCTCCTCCCGTACTATCAGTACGAGCCCGTTTCGAGAGAGGAAGAACACCTCCGCGGTCAAAGGCCGAGATCACCTTCGAGTGGTCCCGTTTTAACGAGACATTCTGGTCGACAAGAAAAGCGATCTGCTCACACAGTTGAGCGATGTCTCGACGAGCTGCAGCCAGCTCGTCACGAAGAGAACGAGTCAAACCTTCGTTCTCAAGTTGTGCGAACGCAAACGCGGCACGATCGTCCGAGCGATCATACGCCAAAGAATTGTAATCATCATTCACAAGATCATGGAGCTCGTAACGCCGACTTCGTTTATGAGCCAGATCATCGTGTAACTGTTTCGTTACAAGGTTCAGCTCTTGAACATCAAGTCGATCCGACCCTCGAGCCGTATCAGGTGTCCCCGCCACCACCACATACTTTGGTGGACTCAAGCGGTGGTCAACGCTTCCTAGTGGAGCGTATTTTGAACCATCGCGATGCAAATGGCGTCCGGACAAGTTACCTCGTCCGCTAACGTGGCATTCCACCGGCGTGGGACAGCTGAGAGCCTCGTGCCCAGCTGATTGTTGATTTCTTTGGTCTCGTCGAGCAGTACGACATGACCCACCCGCTACGTTCGAAGAAAGGCCGTAGGAAAACGACCTCCCCGAACGCGAGTACAAGGATTGCAAAGTGTCGATCCCTTCGCCCATCTTGGAGGAGATGCGCGCCATCCAATGGGGAACATTAGAGAGGTAGACCTCTCCAAATGAACATTCAGCATTTTCCAGGCAACCTGGACATGGATCGCCCCACGAGAGGCAGGGCAACCATGCCTCTCTTGAAAGCCGGTGCAACTTGTCATGCACCCCGACTGAGTGGCGTTTCTCAACCTGATGCGAGCTGCATCAAGTTTACCGAGCCAGGCCTCACGGCCAGAGAACTCGAAGTTATAGATAAAGGCATCACATGCTTGAACCAATGCCATACCGTCTCGACTACGGTTGCCATTGTACCACTGATAATAGAAAACGCATCGGTGAAGAACTTTTACTCAGCACGGATAGTTTTCGTGCTGGAACTAGGTGGGCAAAACGTTCTGCAATCGAACAACGGGATTCGATCTCGATCAATAGTCGTGCCGGCCGACCGGTCCAGCTCTCTGGCTGAAGGCAGCCAACGAGACTCCATTTGAGGAGCGTGGCGCAGGACATTGCTGTCCCTGGACTCTTGATTGGTGTCAGCATGGGCACTGGCACCAGTGTTACCCCTACCCCTTGCGTTACTTCGCTCGTGGTGATGCATAGGTGCATCACCACCATATCCACGCGTCCTATCGTTGGATGTACTTGCGTAAGGCGGGGATTCATCGGAATAATTACTCGATCCAAATATCTCGAGCATGATGCCGCCACGTTAACCAGAGCCAGTCAACCTGGCTCTTACAGTGCCCGCTCCGGGTAATCAGGAGTCGTGAGGTGTCGCCTTCGAGTCGGATAAATCATCCGACTCGCCAGAATTGATGAGCTCTATTTCCGACTCATCTTGATTTCGACCCGAAGTACCTCTGCAGACGCAACGGATGAACTTGTTGCACGTAGTGACTCACCACGTGGAGGATTCACAACAACAGGCGACAAATCGCCTGCTGCTGAGGCGTGAGAGGCACTTTCCTCGGCCGCACGCATGCGTGCAGCCGCCTTTCTTGCTGCTGGAGTTGCAACTCGCTTGGGTTTCGAAACCATGCGTTGGATTGACAAATGAATGGAATTTGACCGACAAGTGCTCCCTTTTCCAGAGTGATCCAACGGTGGTCTCCCTGTCCCAATCAATTCTAATTCAATCAACGGGTAATTGATGGTTAAGGGGGGGGTGATGTAACGGGGTAGCCCGTTGCATGAAATTGACACCAAACGGTGTCAATAGGAATGTTGTCTAGCATGACAATATTCTACCATTGTTATCCGAGATAGATAACATTAAAGGAAGATTATCCCCTTTCAGGACAATATTCATGTGCTCCTTTAAGATTGGTTGACAAAGGCATATCAAGCATAGATTACCACCAATCGCAGCTAGACGCGCGCGGGGAGTGGTGAGCAGTTTGTCGTCATACGACAATGTAGATCAATATAGTTCGACAAAGATTAAAGTAATATTGATAGCTTAACTACATTAAATACAGTTCACCTTTACCTTTTACTCAACTAGCTGTTTGGTTAGTTTAGCTTTCTCTGCAAATATTAGTGTACGTGAAGTTTCGTGGCATCTTAAACTGAGGGTGATCCATCCCACTGTGCGTGCAGAGGAAGGATGGATAATGAACGATGCGTTCAAATTTGTAGCGGATCTACTCAGCGCTCCTTAACAGAGTAAGTCTTAGACTTAAAGAGTCTCTTAGTTATAGTAAACTAACAGCGACGTACAATCCTTCGAGCGTGCAAGCTTAACAATTTCGTTTTCAAGGGGATAACGATTTACATAACTACACACTACCTAGTCACTACTAGTTTAACAAGAGCAAATGCCTTGACAAGGCTACGGCTCTTAACATCACTAGGCATTTAATAGTCAATTGTGTCCAATGATTCAAAAGGGGAACTGAAACTTATCGATTCTTAAAGGTACGGTAATAAAGCCTTAAAGCCTTGCCTGACTGACTTCTGCATTACTATCTTATGACAGAAGCCGGATTCCTTATCCTTACATGATAAGGTGCGGTATTACGGTAGGTACGTGGCCTCAAGACTGTACCAATCAGATCCATTGATCTTTACTTGGTGTTTCCACACTACACTTCGCTATAATAATCGCGTGTAACCATGTTACAAATAGGAATAGAAAGTAAAACCATAATAAATATATTATGAAGGTCCAAATAAGTATTTCTATGTTTAGTTCTAAATTAATTACATTTATCTACAAAAGTGTATGCTTAAGTCTTGCTCACCACTCATAGGGCGTGTCCATTGTTGATTGGATAACTTGACCTGGCTGGAATGATGACCAATATCAACCTATCGGTAAGTACTTCAGAATGCTTATCCTTCAACAATATTTTTGAGAAGTATCAACCGTATGGTAATGTTCAGATTTACAAGTATCAAAGTTAATTACACGTAATAGTCTCACCCCGTTACATACCCCTCAAACGAAAGTCACTAAGTTTCCATCATGTTAATGTAGTCACTATTTTACCACATCAGGTACTGGGAGCACTTGTTTCGTTTGATCCATTCAATTTAAAATATTTATCGCATGATTTTTAAGTCTTCGCGATGCGCAGCGGAAGCTGCTGAAAAGTCAACTGCGCGTGTGTACGCAGCTGCTCTTGAAGATGCACAGCCTCTTGCGGCAGACGATGCTTCGTCTTTTGCCACTTCAACTCTTCCCGCAGCTCCGGTTGCTGCAGAGGCACGTGGTGTGTCATCACGTGGTACTGATAATTTCTTACAAGTGGAAATCATCTATTCGGGGGATTCAGACGGTGGGTCCGACTCGAAGAAGCCTAGGTCGACCGCGACTCCAATTTCGACCGATTACGCGCCAACGAATAGAACTCGAGCGACCAGTCAGACACAAGGTCACTACAAGAGCCTGTTAAATCGTAAATAGAGATTCTGACTTATCCCCTGGGTCTGATACAGCGCACAAGCTTCCTAGCGAATGCGATGATGTGCTGGAACATCGTTATGAAAATTGTAGTGGTATCACGAATTACTTAAGGCCACTCATGAGGCTCTGGACAGCAATGTGCTGCGTCTTGTCTTTATTCAGAAGCCTTGAGTACTACCAGAAAGATTTGTGAATAACTTGACAGGCGTGACAAATCAGCATCATCGGATTCCCTTTTCTACTGCAAGGATGTTGTACAATCTCGAAACCAGCGCGAGCAACTTTCGCGCTGAAGAGGACTTTTAACTCGATTCTTTTCTCGAGCATCTTTGGTATAGCGGCAAGGACAAACGAGATTATAGATCATTGCTGCAGGCGCAAACGCCTGAGAACTAAATGTGCGGCACATTGGGTGTGATGCCTAACTGCAAAAAAAAACTTGAATTATCTCATTTCAGGTTGTAGAAAAGAATTCTAAATTGTGCAATGCCTTGTCACACCATCGGTCTTGTGAGGCAAGAAATACAAGCCTCACGTGGGGCTACCCATGTCCATGTTGTTTGACGACACGTAATGCCACTTAAGGGAACTGTGATCGCCATCGTTGGCCTGGGGTAGGGCACGCATCTCATCTGATACGCGCGATGAGTATGCTAACCTGCAATCGCTCTACCAGCGCCATGGGCGGTTTTCTCCGACGGCCCTTTTGCGTCCTCAGGTGTTTCTTGTCATACTGGTGGACGACACCTACATTATCAACCATAAGGTAAGCGTGAGGCTCCAACAGTCGTGCGACGGCGGATAGCCGCGCTAGCAAAAAGATAACTCGTTCGCTGCTCCTTCACGCCACTAAATTCAAGATTAGCTCCACGTAGAAGCGTTGGCCACCGTGTGATCCACCAACGTCTGTGGTGGGGGCAGAAAGATCAACTCCGAATTTATGTAAAAATAGCATTTGAAGCTTGATCGTTGTAGTAACATTTGTGTAATCAGTACAATCGCACATACAAAGAGAGACAGGAGCGTCTTTCTTGAATGTGTGGGTTCAGCGCCTCCACCTTCATCGTTCTGATGGCCGAGCGGAATTCGCGTTCCATTCATTGACGAACGAACAGAGGCGTCAAGCCTGTCGCGACGAAGTGTCTGACATTCGTCGCCAAAATGCGGCATTACAGAGCCACATTGAAAAAAACTGACCTGGGACAAAAATTGTCTCTTGTAGATTTGTGAGCTTAATGGGTGCATTGGTTCGAGGAAGCAATCTTGTGGTGATAGTAAGGATAGAGAAGGCCTACCTTTAACGTTGACGTGTGCGCATCCTGTGAAGCAACTCGATTGCGTACGCGTAGTCTTACGGTGTTGTATTTAAAACGGCCCAATGTAGTTGGGTACTAGTTTACTGCTACCCACATTAGTTCTACGTGCTTAGGTTAATTTACCGTAAACAGTAAATTAAGTCTCTAGCAATAGGTAGAAGAACGTTAGCTTGTACGTGTTTGTCGGCGTTCCGTTTCTGTCGGTCCACCGCATTAGCAATGAAGTCCTGCACATATGGAATACACAAAACGTTCTTTACTGATTCAGTTTCGTTTATACCTTGGCGCGCACTGCTAAGATCGTTTTCTCTTTTTCAGCGAGGGCATCATCGTCCTCGCTTGCATACTCATTATCGAAGCTGAAAATACCAGCTTCGTCGATCTCGTCCGGGTAAGCAATTTTATCGCCAATCTTGCTGAAGTTAGATTCTTCGATATTGACTTGATCGACGTCTGCAACGTTCGCGTCGTTAAGTACTTCGACACGTGATGAGCCAGAGCCAGAACGATTTTTGCTCGAGCGTATATCCCATCCTTAACTCAGATCAACACCTTAAATCAATTGGGTAGGCGTGGATTACGCAAGGTTTTCACGAAAAAAAGTGTATGCGTTCTCGACGCATGCACGAATTTGTTGATGTCAACATCCATCATCAGCAATATGTCGCTTCAGTTTCGAAATATCTCTACGAGGATGCGGTTGACACCTTTAGCTTGACCATCTGTCTCGGAATGGTCAGAATTAGACATAGTCAGACGTGTTTCGATACCTCAGGACACGAAATTCCAAAACGCCGCCGTAAATCGAGGGTCTTTTATCAGAAATCAGTTCACGAAGCAGACCGTGAAGTAGAAGTACCGTGGCAATGAAGACTTAGGCACAGCCCTGTGCTGTGATTGACTCCCGAACGGCAGCGATGTATCATCTTGCTGAAGCGATCAACAAACACAAGATTACCAGTATTTTTGTGGTCTTCTCCTGATAAAATTAAAGATGGAGTTTATTGAAACGGACTGCCAGCACTCTGTCAGGATATGTGGGGGCTGTAGTGGCGTACGTGATCAAGGAATGGGGATCTCCCTTAGAAACACTATGCAATCATTAATGTACTTGCTCACAAATTGATACTGGCAAAACCAGTAAAGTCAAGTCTTATCGTGAGATAAGTCTGCTTACGCCCACAGAAACCACTGGGTGGCATCATGACACTCATGCAAGATGCACAGTCGTTAACAGTGAGTTAGTGAGGTAGCAACACGAGGTGTGGACCGCAACGGCTGTGTAGCAAAGCGACCCGTTGCGTGCTATGTATCGATCCGCGGAATATTCATACAAGGCCGGTAATTTTTTTAGTATTTACGGGAGGAAGTCACCAGAAGATATAATAGTCTCGGAACAGCCTATTTATCTACTCAGGCCTTTTTATTGTCGTCAAGAAATGTTGACGATGGAACATTAGTGAATAGTGTTTCAACAGTAGTTTCAACCCCACCGTTGGGTTGAGCAGTCGGCTCGAAATCGGGTCGGCGCGAAGAGCATCAGCGAAAACTTTAAGTCGTTCTGGCTTTCACTCGACGAAGAAGTTGCACTCCGAGAAGAAAAACAGCCACCTCGCCATTCGTTGCGAGAGGCGTGGACTGTTGTATCGTGCGTAACGACGCATGGTCGGTAAGAACGACGAAGGGCCTATCTCCTAGGAGATAGACGTGATACTTGGCCGGTGCGTATTTCATGGCAAGGTGTTCCTTGTAATGCACCGGGTAATTACGCTCAGCTGCTTGCAGCTGACGCGATTGATATCAGACGACGCGCTCAAAGCCGTCTGAATCCTACTGCATTACCGCGCAACCGATTGCAAAATCGCTCTGATTTTGTAATCGGCTGCGCGTGGAATAGTTCGTCCTGGTCTGCAAGCCCATATTGATCGTTAAGGTCTCAAAAAAAATACTCTAATATCATGAAATTTTAGGCCAAATTAATTTTTGGTAATTTTTACAGGGGTGATAATTACCTTTTTTTCCAGTGCATTTTTTAAATCATAAAATAATTTATGCTGAAAAAATATTAAGAAAAATGTACATTGATCAGAAAAGTTAAGTAAAAAGCATCGTCCTAAAGGAGACCACTGAAGCGACTTGCGTCCACGCGCGTACGTCAAAGCTCGAAGGTCTGGTCGGTATAAATTAAAACCACGAAATAAAATTTGTTTTCAAAATAATAGAAACATTCATTAGAATTTAATGTTTTAAAATTAAATACAAAGAAATGGAATTTATTTGAAGAAATATATATAACAATCACTTCATTGCTAATTGACAGACATAAAGGAAGCAAGAATGTTGTTTAAATTGTAAAATTAACTTTTAATTTGATATTTTAAATAAATATTTCAATCACAAATTAAAAAAATTTGTTAAAATATGAATCGGAATATGATTTGGCGCCACCATAGAGGATTGCAACAGGCTTTTCTTGATACCCTCGAAAAAGTGATGACACTCAGCACTTTGTGACCACCTCTGGGTTTCTTTGACAGACGAGAGAGATGAACGGTCATCTCGGCGTAGTTGCGTGAGTACTTGTGTAAGTACGCCGCTAAGCCAAGGAACTTTCGAGGTCCCTTGACGTCGAGTGGCACAGGCCAGTCTCTGATCGCCTTGATCTTTTCTGGATCAGGGCGTACGCCCTTTTTGCCCACGATGCATCCAAGAAGTGGTATTTCGTTCGCTGCGAATATACACTCATTGAGGTTCGCGAACAACGTATGCCCTCGCATTATTGTAAGAACCTTCCGGACGTGGATTCTATGAACCTCAACGTCCGACTTTCCATCCATAGCCCGGCTATGGACGAAGACATTGTCAAAGTAACTCGGTGCGAAATCTCGCACCGATCGCAACGTATTCGTAACACATCTGTTGAACGTTGTAGGGGCGTTACTGAGCCTCTGTGGCATCACTAGCCACTCCCAGAGCATACCACTGGGGGTGCTCACTGCTGTGTACGGGATGTCCCGTTCACGCATGAGGATCTGCTAGAATACATCCATCAGATCCATGGAAGAAAAGATGGTACTTTTTGCCATACCATCAACGATGACGTCCTTCCTTGGTATCGGTGTTTGAGCCGGTACCGTTGCAGCGTTCAATTTGTAGAATGCGTGCACTATCCGCCACACTCCTGTCTTCTTTCGCACACAGAAAGTCGGAGAGCTGTAAGGGGAAATTGATTCTCTCACGTGGCACTCTGCAAAGCGATCCGCAAAGATTCTGCCGATCGCTGTGGCCTGTTCACGAGACAGTGGCCACTGCTTCATGACACAGTGCTTCGAGCCCGGTTTGAGCTAGAGCTTGTGTCAAGTGCTTGTGTTCATAGGCAATTCGTATAATAAGGATATACGGAAAACATTCCTAAATTCGACTAGATCCTTGTATTAAAGATTTGTCAGAAGCGACTACCAAGTTTAGATGTGTTTTGCTCAATATGAGTATTCTCATC